CTAAGCTTCTTTTGCTCAAGGCTAGTGCTCTACCATTTCAGCCATAGCTCCACTTCTGGTTTTTTTTTTTTTTTGGTAGTTAATTGGAGATCAGAGTCTCATGGACTTTCCTGACTGTGCTGGCTTTGAACTTCCATCCTCAGATTTCGGCCTTCTGAGGAGCTGCAACGTATAGGTGTGAGCCATCTGTGCCCATCTGGAAGATGGACCTTAGAGGACTTTTCTCTTCAAGCTGGCTTTGAATCATGATCCTCCATATCTTATGTTCCCGGGCATGAGCCTGGCTATTTTGTGATTTTTTTAAAGCCTTATCCTTAAATTCTTTGGTGGTGCTGACGTTTGAACTCATGATCTTACTCAGTCTTTTACAAAGCACAAAAGATTCCTGAAATCAAACACTTCAGAGAATTTCTGTGTTAGGACCATACACATGGAGAAATCTCCATGGAGTTAAGACTACTGGAAAGAAAGCAGGAGAGCCTGATGCTGATGGCTCATACCTGTACTCCTAGCAACCCAGGAGGCTGAGATCTGAGGACTGTGGTTCAAAGCCAGCCTGGCGAAGGAAAGTCTGTGAGGCTCTTCTCTCCAATTAACCATTCAAAGAGCCAGAAGTGGAGTTGTGGCTCGAGTGGTAAAATGCTGGACTTGAGCAAAAGTGCCCAGGGACAGCTCGCAGGCCCTAAGTTCAAGCACCCAGAATGGTCCAGGTACACACACACACACACACACACACACACACAAATGGAAAAAATGGGGTGGGGAGGAAGCAGGAGAAATCCTAGTTGTGAGCTTGGAGTGCCAGGGAGCATCGGGGAGAAGGAAGGGGAAGCCGCTGGGGGCGGGGCAGGGGGGGTACACCCCACAGCCTGAGGACTGAAGAGTGTCTGTCTGACTCTGGCCGCCTCTCGCTGACCAGGGCCTGCGCAGCTCGGCTCCCCTTGACAGCAGACCCAGTGGTGATCCCTGAAACTCACCCATCCACCGCGGGGGCCCTGCGATCCAGCCTTCAGGGTGGCTCCACTCCTGCTCTGAACTGGTCAGCGCCCAGCCCGCGTGCCAGGGGCCCGCGCTCCTGCTGCAGGAGCTGTGGGGCTGGGCCAGGGGG